ATTAGCTTTAATAAAGTTCTATATTTTAATCCAGGAGTCAATGTGAATTAAATTATTTATAAGAATTTGTCGTGTGCACCCTGTAGGTAAATGTGTGAATGGTTGTAGAAATAAGAAGAAGGGAAAAATAAAGTTGGCAACGCGTCGTTTGACATTTTTGAGAAAAAAAAAAATGAAAGTAAACAAAAACAAACACTAGGAAAATTATTTGAAACAGTAGATTGAATAGCTGAAAGGAATTGAAACAGTAGGAAGCCATTATGGGATCCGAGGTTTCTCGGACCCTAATGTGCAAAATGTCGGCCTTTTTTTCTTTGAGATTCAACGAAGCAGCAAGTGGCAAGTGCGCACAATAAAAGTCGCCTAAGCATTTTTAAAGTCTTTATTTAAATCAAACAATATAATATAAATTATATAAATTGAACACCAAAAAAAAAAAGGTTATACAAATATTTCAACGCCACCTCTGCCGACTTCCAACGTGGGATCTTTCATTTGGGAACATCGGCTCCGCACTGCCAATCCTGGGGTGCGCAGGTATACCAAAGGTTTCGACCATAAAGATTTTTGACCCTGAACGACAAGACGGACTGACAGTACCTTTTAAATAATTAATAAAAAAAAAGGGAAAATAATAAATAAAAAAATTTATATATATATAAAATAACAAGCTTACCATTGGTTAGAATCGGACCAGACCGCTGGCCAAAAATTACCGCCAAGCGTGCGCGACGTTAGGGTTGAGCTCAGGCCTAGTTTTTTAGAAGAATTTGCGGCAGATTTGCACCCAGTAGCTCAGTATTTTTATACGTATATATATGTAAAAAAAAATAAATATATATAAATAATTATTTAAAAGATATTTAAAATTTTTGCAAACTGACCTGAATTACCCGGACCTGGACAGAATACGGACGACGGAAACCCCACTGCAACACCTGCCAACTCCATAGCCGTAGGACCTGTAGAAGAAAGAGGAGAAAGTAAAGAAAAAATACTTAAAAGCTAAAATATAAAGATACTTAAAAGCTAAAATCTAAAGATACTTAAAATCTAAAAATACTTAAAGCTAAAATCTAAAGATACTTAAAAGCTAAAAGATAAAAATACTTAAAAGCTGAAATCTAAAAATACTTAAAATTTAAAAATTTGATAAAACTAAAAGCTGAAAACAATTTGTCAAAAGCTAAATTCTTAAATCTATTTAAAACTTAAAACCTAAAATTTAAAATATACTGCTTTAAAACTAAGAGATTATATTGTGAAATCATACTACTAAAGCCTAAATCTACTTAAATCTAAAGCTTAGAATCTACAAAACTTAAAATGGGAAACTAAAGAAAATTTGTTAATCTAAAAGCTAAATGTGTTAAACCGATAATTTGTATATAAAAATTTTTTTGTAATAATAAATATCTCCCTTAAACTCATTTTTTGGATATTGTCCCTAAAAAAATTTTTGTAAAATTTAAATTTTGCCGTAAGCTAAGAAAAATTCTAATAATTAATAAAAAAAATTATGTTTATAACGTTTTAAAGAAATTTTGAAAAGTTGTGTCATTAATATGATTTGGTAATTTGTTTGAAAAGCGGCGGTAAGTAGGGGAAGTGAATGTTCGCAGGGAAGATTTGGGGGACGTCAAGGAAGAGGACGTCATGGTGAGGTTGAATCCTCTAGTGGGAGGACAATGATGTGTATAGGTATGACCGCAGGGAGATGCAGGACTACTTTTGGCCCCTTTTTCAAATAATACCCCAAATGCTGGTATGAATTTTTGTGTTAGTGTGTGTTTATGGTCCAGATTGCCGGCAAGAACCACCCCATCCGGCGAGCTTTAGCCGCGCAATACGCGGGCATACCAGCGCCGCTAGCAATCTGGCCATTCTGTCCCTTTCTGTTTATTTTGTTTCTGTTTGTCTTATTTTAAACAAACAGCTGACCACCACACCACAACATAAATGGCGCCCAACGTGGGGCCCGAAAGTAGGTCCGTAGACCAAGTAGTTTGACGTATTCTCTTAAGTCCGAGTAGGCCGGTTAGGTTTAAAGTCAAGAGTCCCTAACTGTAGCTACTTAGATGAATAAGATAATATTTGGAAATTTTTAATAACACTTTTTTATTTCAATAGCTACGAATCCTAAATTGCGCATGTTCTTATTGGTCACGCAGATGTAAGTCCCGGTCTCTAGGACAAAAGAGTCCTGATCGCGTTGCGACATCTTGTGTGGGCAATAAGGGCATGCAAAATTCTGGATTCCGTAGTTGCCATCTTTTCCTAACAGCTTGAGGCTTAGAGATAACAGGCACAGCTTAATCTCTAAATGCTCAAGTTGGAAGGAAAAGATGGCGACCATATCCACACTTAAATTAACAATAGCATACAACTAACTATACCTAAATTAAGAATACTTACGTTCTTAAGTCGCAGCCGGTCTAGGGAGGTAGTCCTTAGAAGTCTGGTACATTTAACCTTTTAAGCTGCACCTTAGTAGACAGGACTGTGAAGAGCCAGTTAGCAGTTTCACCCATCTTTTTAATTTTCGTTAGTATTCTGCATCTCCTGAAACCATAAATAAGAAAAAGAATTAGGTCATATCTATACACATAGCAGCAATGTAAATTGTGAAATAAAATCTACCTGCAAAACTTTTACTTTCCCGAAATGCCGCCCGCATTAAGCTTTTGAGTTTTATCAAAATTTTTTTTTTTTTTTTGCCTTTGATAGGAAGAAATCTTAGGTGTGAACATATATTTTTTTTTTTTCCAATTTACGCTGCTAAGATTCTGGAATACGAATTACTTTTACATATTTATATATATAACTTGAAATATAATATATATATACAATACCTTTTTTTTATTTTTGATATTGAAGTGAAGATTTATATTAATTTTTATTTTTTAAATGGTTTTAACCCGTCGCGCGAGTCGTCTACAGCATCAAAATAACGCCATGGCGACAAGCAGTACCAACGTAACTTGTCATACCGATACTCCTACCACCTCATCTGTCGTGACTTTTACGAATCCCACCACAACCACAATCACAACAACAGCCAGTACAGCAGATCCGATTTTCAGCACTCAAGCATCTCATGATCTTTCGATCAGCTCCGAAGGCGCTAACCAGACGGTAGTGTCTCCAACATTCTTAAGCGAGACAGCACAAAATATAAGGAGAGAAGTTCGAGAGAGCATGGCAGGCCAAGGTGCCGAAAGTCCAATACAGGTCAGCGATATTCACAACATTGTAAGTGCCTCAGTGGGATTACATCAAATCCAATTTATGAAAGAGGTCGACAACAAGATCCAGAAAGCATTGGACGACATGAAGCAGCTTATATTGTCGCTGCCGATGACTAATCCGGCTCCAATGCAAACAATGTTGTCACCTTCAAACCATTGTGGTACCGCCAACTCAACCACCGAGAACCTCTTTAGAGCACAACCATCATTCTTTGGTCATCCAGCAACGCCAGGTTACCAGCAAAC